GATTTAAGTAGCTTCACTTGGGCGTTCACCACAATGATTCATCTAGGCCTTGAGCAATCTTCAAGTGTCATCTCCCAATATTCTTAGTATGCTCACACCAATTTACTAACAACATTGAGTTCAATTAACCCTTTTTGGATGAACAAACGACTGATGAATGACTGGATGCAAGAATGTCGAATTCAACAATCAACAACCAATCAATGCTCTAATAGCCCTACCACCAACTCAACAATCATAATGATGATAATAAAAGATATAACAATCAAATAATCATATCATGAAATACATGGTGCACGTGGGGAATTGCAGATGTGTGTGTATCGTAAAGCAATAATCAATGTACCATAACAAAGAGTAATTTTTATATAGAAGCCCGTTCAGCAAAAAAAAATTTGCCACTCTTAGTCCACCTAAACCTAATCCACTATACTGAATGCTTGATTACAAGATCCAAAGTCTTATACCTCAACCAATTAATCCACTATACTGAATGCTTGATTACAAGATCCAAAGTCTTATACCTCAACCAATTCCATGATATTAGGCACTTTCCTCCTTGTATCTTCTCTTCGGATTCACCACTGCAAGGTCTTGAGTACTAGCATTGAAGGGCAAATCGAGCTCCACATTCTGAATTCTTCATTGATATTCAAGGACTCCTCCCAAGATCAACTTCTTCATACTGATATGGGTTTGGTGTTTCTATAAGATTTCCCTCTTAAGGTTTAGAAGTGTAGCACGAGATAAATTAAGGTAGAGTTTGCCTTTGGATGCTTTGGGAGTGCTAAGGTTTATTCTTGGCTCTTTAGATGTTAGATGACATCATTAGAGGGTTGTAGAGAGTTAACCTAGTGAGATAAAACAATTATATATATAGGCCCCATAAATAGAGTTTAATTAGGGAATAAAAAAACTCAAATTCATGAGGGACCACTTGAGCTTTAAAAGGGTGGTAATAGGTAGGTTGTCATTGGAATGAAACATGGATCAATTCCAGGCTAGTTAAGTAGGCAATGTTTGAGCGGTGTAAAGGCCAATCGAGCCATTTGCATTGCTCAAGCGACTAGCAAGCTTTTAAGCGAGCCATTTGCATTTCCAATTATTAACCCTTTTAGGAATTTTTTGTAAGTGTTTTAGCAACCACTAAAGTCGTAGGCCAACGAGTAAAGGGTTCTCCCTACTATTTTTAATCCTAAACCCGAACAAAAATTTTTCTGATTGAACACAAAGGGGTGTTGAATACTAGGACCCGATCCGAGACTCACTACATGTTTCCCAAACATCATTTCAAGTATCAGAAGTATTTTTTAATAAAAATCTAGTCTTGTACAAAATCATCCTAAATCCATTTATCAAACCTAAATAGCCAAAGGTGTAATCCTTGGTGACCAAATGGGCCTAATATATTCAAGAGTAGGATAAAATTTGTTAACTAAGGTCCTAATGAAGAAAACCAGAGAGTAAGTATGGTTAATTCATAAGGATGCACATAATATTCATAATTAGAACTTAGGTAAGGTGGTCATTTTGATGTATCAAGAGTAATTTGATTTAGGGGTTGTGATAAATCACTAAACTATGGGAGAGAAGTAATTCAAAGTGGATCTTCCCTTATGATTATAAACGTAGAATTTCTATATACAACCTAGAGCTGGTGAAAAGATTTATAAAATTATTGCTTGGACAACCACCAATTTTAAACATAATCAATCACTATTACCAATTCATAAATTAATTATGCAATTAAGTGCATGAACCCCCCTTTCAATAGCCGAACAACACCACGTGATTTGATTAGACAACATTAAAATTTACTATAACTATGATCCCACCACCAAACTAATTGTTCACAAGAAAATTTTTGATGAATAGAAAATTAATCAATCATTCAATCGAACACATAGTATGGGTGTTGATATTGCAAGTGCGTTATGCAAAACAAAGCAATAAAAATACATTTGCAACACAAGCAATTGAGTCTTATACCTCATCCAATACCATAGTTAGACACTTCTTTCCATTGCAAATCTCTCCACCGGAGTCCTTCTGAAGTTATGAGTAGCTTCACTTGAATGCATCAACCACAATGGACCAGTTAGGATATTCCCTTCTAAGATCCTTGGAAGGCACACCTCTTTAAAATGGGTTTTTTTGAACTCCAAGAATGATCTCCTTCTTCAATGTGTGATGTTAAATAAAAGAATAAAGATGGATGACTTTTGGGGAGTTAATTTGGGGTTGTTCTTAGTTCTATAATTCTTGAGAAGGCAAAATTTTAGCTCAAAATAGAGATACCCTAGCTTCAGAAGGCTTACCCTTTATATAGGTTCGAAATTAGGTTTGTCTTGGGGTCCACGTACACAGAAATTTGCAAACATTGCTCAAGATGTAAGAAAACGGTGATAGCGATTGTATACTGGACTGAAAATGTAATGGCCAGTGTAAAACTACGAAAATTAATAAATGTGTAACACGGTAATTAGGCCATTTAAGCAAGGTTAAAATATAAAATTTAACAAAAATAGGATGATTAAAAATACCTCACCACTAGAATCATCTCGCAAAAATGAGTTGGGTATAAAAATTTCATTTAATTTCGAGACAATTGAGATATTCATGTATTATGAGCCGAAATACGCAATCGGGCGATAGGCGATTAAAATTCCAACAACTAATCTTTTATTCGCGGGACTCAAAATATAATTAAAAGGCCATTCAACTAATTTTATCCAAATAGAAAAGTGTCAGGTTATGATTAGTTTTTGGAGATTTCTAACCAATGAAAAAGTGACAGGTGGCACACTTAGGGCCAAGTATAAAAAAGGGCCAAAAAGGTGAAAGACCAAAGTCTTCCACTCAGTTTCCTTGGCCAAAATTGTTTGAGAGAGAGAGAGAGAAGGCCTCCAAGATCTTCATCTTCTCCTTCCTTCTTCCTTAAATCGTTCAAGATCCAACTATTGAATCATCAAACACCAAGAATTAAAGTGGTTCTACTTTGCAAGGGCTATGTGTCAACAAGCGTGAGTACCTGAAAAATATTCCCACAATTGGGTGAACTGAAGCGTAGTAGGATATATCCTATAGAGAATTCCTCACAACCCAAACACATATGATATGAATGCCAACCATGCATGATGTTTCATGAATGCATGTCTGACTCCAAATCTACTCCTAGGTTCCCATGCATGACACATGATAGTGTCATGTCATGTCATGAACTAGGCAATCCAAGCCCCCGTCATTGAGTTACACACACCCAATGACTATTTATTTATTTTCGTGGTAGTCTAAGACTCTTCGATATGAATTTTTATTTTGAATTCAGAAGAATCTGAAATGCTCCCGCTCTGCATGGAAGATGAGGTAGAATAGAGAAAAGGATTGCCTAGATAGATGTTCTCTATGGGTATTCTATAAGTAGCTAATAGAATGCAATGCCTCCTCCTAGTGACTGTCGGTCGAGCTGGAACTTGGCTCCGTGATGGGGAAGAACCTTGACTTCCCTAGGGTCTTGCATCTTTTAATTCTATTGGGTGGGAGGCATGATGGAAGCCTATCCCGCACCACACGTTCTCTGATTGAAACGACTCTTTATAGGGTAGGTACTTTTATGGACTTCCACCAACAGACTACTAAACCAACAACAGATCTCGAAGACATTCCACCTTCGGCTCCGTGTTATGCCATCACACTTTTATAGACTCGTGACACCATTGGAAAGTGTGTTACCAAAAACTCGAGAGGCTCAATCGAATCTTGGTCCAATCTTCCTGGGTCCCACCCAACAACTCACCTATGCGGTGATTGATTAAACCCTTGCACAGCACTCACAATCATCACATGTTCCAAGAATATAGTATTAACCTATGCACGTGCAATGTAATGTACAATTAAAATTTAATTGAAAACACAATGTCAATTATAGCATTAGGCAAATAATAAACATTCTAGCATATGACCAAGCATGTTATAAGCATTAATTAACCCTACTAATATAATTGAATATACTTAGGCATTTTATCAAACACCTAGAGAGCATAAATGTAAACACCTTACATGCCTACTCATATCACACATATTTCAAGCATCCTACTAGCTACACTAGTTACATGGTAGATATGTAATTTTTCTACATAAAAACCTACTCATATCATATACATACTTAGAATTGAAAGTAATCCTAAATAGGAGGAGCCCTCACCTCTTATAGCGTGAATGAAGGTGAGAGTCCCTTTAAAATGCCCAAAATTAGATCCTTAAAGCACTAGCCCCAAACCCATGATTTTCAAAATTTGCAAAAAATAGGTCGGGGTGATGATGGAGTCGAAGTCTGAGTTTTCATTTTGGATGTATAGATGTTTAGGTCCCATTGTATCTACTTTTTATTTAATTAAACCTCGATAATACGAAGATAAATATTATTAGTACCAAATCAAAATTACAAGAAACTAGAGGGGGACATTTAAATCTTACCCCTTTAAAATATTACAATACCTATAAAATCATTTAAAGAAAGAAAAATTACTATTTTTATCAAAGGTTTCATGCTTTGCATGCTTGTCTTCATTGTGGGTCCCTTAGAATGACAACATTGCAGGCTTGCTTTGATTATGCTATGGCCCACCACTTAACATTAAAGACTCGTTAAAAAATCCCATAAAATCCCACCATGAGTCATGAAAACTCTCCAGAAGTCCCATAAACCACGTGGGAGTCTTCTAAAGAGGTAAACACGAAGAGGCAACATTTGGAATCTTTAGTATCTTGAAACAGAATTGTCAGACTTCTCTTTCCTTGAATAGCTGAAACACTATGACTTTATCTTCCTCCTCAATTGGCGTAATTGTAAAGAATTCATGGAATAAAATAGTCCAAGCTTGAAAAGGAAACATATGATAGCTTTGATATATGGCAAATACTTGTTCTTCTACCCCTTTATTGCGAAAAAAATGGGCCAACAAATTAGCTTCCCTAAATCTCCTTCCAAATATACCAAATCAGACATGAACAGTCGCATGAACAGTGCCTTGAGCAGCTTTAAAAGAGTCCAGCTGAAGCATTAAATTCCAGCTGTAGGAAGAATTCTCCAACCCAACAAAGAAACCAGCTGAAGGGGAGACTCTACCTGAAACAGTCCAGTCAATGAAAGAGACACCTGTTAATGCAGTTGAACAAAGAGGCCAGCTGAACCAAGAGTCCAGCTGAAGACAGTCAAAATCTTCATTGAATATGCAGAGCAGCTAAGGTATCAAACGTGATAAATTCATGAAAACAAAGAATAGCTGGAAAAGAGTCCAGTTGAGAGAAGAGTGTGTTCGAGCCATAGCTGATGCAGGAGAACTCATTAAACCAGCTGCAGAAATTAAAATTCATAATTCTGTCCAAAAAAAACCAGTTTAATTCCATAGTAAATTCCTCTATTTAAAATTCCTGAAAATCCTCCATGAAGTAGCTGAAAATTCTCCATTTAACGCCTAAATCCATATGGATTCTTTTGCTTTAGAATTTTGAAGGCTATCTTGGATTTGGACCTAGTCATTATTGATGAATTTTCTATGGCTGGGATATTTTCAACACCAACGCTAAAGCCTCTAGCTCTGTGACGTCCCAAAAACCGGGGGTCCCGTTGATCGCCCATTAACCCGCGAAATACCTGTGGATATCGTATAACTCGATACCACACCGTTGTGTCCCATTTACCGAGATTCATAATTTAACAAAATCGGACAGAGTCTCCTTTGTACAAGGAAACTCTACCCAAAACACAACCTGTGCACCGTACCATCACATGACCCATCGGAGGTCCCATATACAAATGTTAACCACACCGGGTACATTTATAAGAAAACATTGACCACACTGGGTCCAATTATCCATACTTTCACCTCATGAGTTTATGCATTAAACATAGTTAATACAAGTTCAAAATTATAATTCTTTTACAAATATTACATGCCAATACATAGTTTGAACAAAAGTCTCAAAACAGTTATGGTTAAAGGCCACATGTCGGCCCCTCTTCACCCTTGACGCCCCGACTGAGAGTCCTCCGCCGGTACGCACCCTGCGCCTGAAATGTTTCCCGTATAGGGTGAGCCAATGCTCAGTAGAAAAACTCCTACAGAGGCTACTCCCCACTAAAATGCGTATGCTGCGAACATGCCACAAACAAATTCTTCCATTCCAAATAAGAATATGTTATTGAAGATAGAATCTCATGATGTCATGCCAAGTAATGAGACAAAACTCATTCATGTATGCTATCCCGAGCCCACACCGACCCCCAAGATACAATGCGACGCATGTGTAAAATAAATGTCTTTGATGAAACACATTCAAAGATCATTTTGAAATCAACCATATGTCATAAAACCAATTCATTCTTGGATGTTTCCCATCAAATGAATAATTTATATATTAAAATCATGTGCCTTTATTGGGTATCGGATTCAAGGAATTGCACCTCCGGCTCCGTACGCCGTTACACTTTTCTAGAATTTCACCGCCGGTAAGTGTATGAACCAAGTGGCCGAGTTTTTTACCCGAGGGAGTGTCTAGCTCTACTTGCTATATCCGACACAAGTTTTCTGATGCATGTAACCGTGCGACTCAATAGGATGTTCCATCCTACTTTCCCGAATCCACCACCAACCACCAAGGATGATGATTGACCAACCATGCAACCACACACCCAAGTTCATGGTTATGGATGTGTTTACCCCGTGCATATGCAATGTAATGCATCATTTCAAACTACTGCCATGTTCAATATGTAATGAATATCATATAAACAATTTTAACATATCCCATGATCAATTATATCCAAACATATAAATTCTATGATCATCATAATGCTAACATATCGTTAAACATACATCAACATAACATTACAATTGTAAATCACATCATAAGCATGTAATTTCGTTTTACCACATTTTCCAAGCATGTTATTTCATCAAACAACAACTTCAATAACTCAAGACATTTTATTAAACACCTTCACGACACCAATTATGTTATCACATAATTCACCCATATTCATCGTATAACTCAAGAAATCCTAATAAGTGACTTCTACTATTAATCCCTCCGTCAATCCATGAAAAGATCCATGAATGTCACACTAACCAACATCACATCATTATTATCCCTTTGTCCGGGATTTTAACTTGCACATGTAACCCGTGTTCCTTTACTAATTTTATTCTATCGAGGTCCAATATACCCCAATATATTTCATTTAAAACCAAAGAACACATAGTGATGAGTGCAAAATATTGCATATTTGAAGGCCTCATTACATGCATTTTAACTCAACTTTTGCATGTAAGTACTTCGAGTGAGCCGAAATTATGAATAATGTTGATATTTGGATGTTGCAAGTATTTATAGCATAAATCAAGTATTTTAGGACCTTGCAACTATCTTGGATGTGTGGTGAAAGTATGACCACATTACATGAGGATTTGGAGGCTTAGAAGTTAAGAAATCAAAGAGGTATTGGTGTTTGGTAAAAAAGACACCAGCACTAGCTCCCTCTGGTGGAAGTACCTCTGTTTTTCTCCATTTTGACCCTGATATACTAAGAATCTGAAAAAGTTCAAAACACGAAAGTTGTAGATATAGATGTCTTCTATATTGTGTCAAATTTCAGCACAATCCAACGGTTGGATCAAAAGTTATGACGATTCTACGACAACTGGTCCGGAGCAAAAAAGTATACCGGTTTTTCTTCACCCAATTTCTATATCCATTGCAAATTATTTCTTACAAGAATTATTTAGCACATTTAGGCATCCTTTTCCCATACTTAACCTACACTAATGGTGCATTCAACAAGATAATTTATCTCAAGTCATGGCACCCATCCTCAATATCCCTTTTTAACTAAACCATCAATTTCAAACTAGAAATTGATTATATCATTTCTACACCAACTCCATAACCATAGGCAAGTGAATTACATAGTTCCATATGCCTACCATTTTTTCATCCAAGCAACTATGGTAGGAAAATTTTAAAATACACAAAACAATCCATGTAAACCCAATTTTCCAAGAGTTTACACTAATAGCTTTCACATATCAAATGTGAGCTAAAACTTGGTTTTTTCTTCCTTCTCTTTTAATCTCCCTCAGTTTAGGTTTCCAACAAGCAAGAATACACACACACACTGATGTATGAGTTAAACACACCCACTTTACTACATATTAAAGCACACATAACTTCCATCCAAGAAATTTCACAAGTACTTCCACATAGCAAACCAAAGTAGGACTTGAATCAAACCCATTCTAAACCTACTTCCTCAAGGCATAAAATAACATTTGCTATTTAATCACAATTCACAACATATGTTAAACATAGCTCATGCTACTAACACATTCAATTTTCAAGGGATTTCACAAGTGATTCTCACATATCACATACAACTAGAATTGACCTAAGCCATTTCTACACCCTTTTTGATTCCCATTTTATCTATTTCACATGCATAGGTGAGTGATATATATATATATACTCTTTAATAACCTACACATTTCACATACACTATAGGTAGAAAATGAACCAAGGTGGGAAAACCCCTACCTCTTTGAAGTGTGTAGACTTCAAAAACACCAAAACAAGCCCCAAGTTCTTGATTTCCCAAAATTTGCCTTTGAATCTTCAGTAAAAATTGTTGTTTTTGGTACCCACGCGTAGCCCTCGTCGCGTAGATCAACTTTAATTCTTCGCTTGATGAATTTCGACTGACGAAACTCCGAGAATCGGCAGAAGAAAACTTGAAAACTCTCTTTCTCTCTTCTCTTCCTCCAACATCTGAAACCAGCCAGAAAATGGGTAGGAAATATCTGATTTTTCAGATATGTCACCCTATTCATTCTGGCCTAGAATGTGCCACATAGCTTCTTTTTCCCGGATCTGTTTTCATCCCGAAACGATTAAATTTCATTCCAATTTAAGTTCAAAATATTTTTATTTTAACTTGCCTCAAATTATTTTCTAACTTTTAAAATTTTTGCCAAAATTTCGTTTTTTTTTGGTCACCCGAGACTCAATTGCCTCGAAAAACGTAAAAAAACTGACTATCTCAGAATTCGATGAAATTTGACAAAGTAACTAAATTTCGCGAGATGAATCCAACGGTGAAGTTCGTTTCTTCATCCGAGTTCCAGAAATTTCAGGTTTTTGACCAATACTGTAGCGACAAAATTACTGTTTTGCCCTTATTTTCAAAAGTTTAAATTTACCGGGTTTTGCAAGCTCTTCTTCTTTCCTTTTCTTCTTTAGCTCAATCTCATTCAGTATTGACAATAACTTTTTGGACGATGCCATAGAAGAAATAACATCCTCTTCTCGAGCCAAAGTTCCTACTCAACATCAGAGTAAAAACCTCTTTTGTGCTCGTGAAGAGAAGACTCCTTAACATAGTTATCCTTGGAATAAAGTCCTTTTTGCTTTAAAACTTTGTGAATCTCTTCTATTGACATGCTTGGAATAATATCCCCTTGACTCTGAATAGTCTTATGAGCTTCTGCAACCATTTCTTAAGTAATGGCGTTCGGCACAACATCCACTGACAAAGACTTAAAATCTTGCTTATTCAAAGAACAGTGACCATAATTAATCAAGGATAAAGACTCATCAATCCCATCATCTGAGACATATTTCGAAGCAGTAGAACATACATTCTCATCCTCCTCATTATTTAAATTAACAAACTTATATGCAGCAGCTTCACCACTTTTAATAAATTTATCATTTTGTGGCTAGTTTAACTCCACTTCAGCTGCAGAGATACAAACCAGACTGCCTACTGTCTATGAATTAGTCACCTTTTGAGATTCAGCATAAGCAACTGGAACTGTGATCCCTTCTTCCGAACAAATCTCAATCTGCATCACACACCCAACAACTTTATCCATAACACTTACATTAGTTTCTTTTTTTGGTACCGCCGGAATAAACTCAAGAACCTTAGGAACAGTAAATTCCTTAGAAACATTGCAGTACCATTCTAGCGCCTTAGTGGTATTATTTGAGTTTGGAAAATTTGGAACTTCATCGATATACAGTTCTAAATTTTCATTTACCTCCATAACCAAGATTGAATTGAAGTCGACTTCATTCTCAGAATCTTTTAGCTGCATTCTTTCTTTTGAAGTCATATCCTTTCCATACTGCTTCGCATTGTCTTTTG